TGTATTAACATCTAGAAAAGCTGTGTAACACGGTGAGCTGACTTTCAAATGCTCAGGATAGGATGTGAATTTGTGAATGCTTGTTGTAAAGCTGTAAGACAAACCAAGGGTTTTATGTGATAGAATACACAAAGCTCCTTTATATAGTTTTAGGTTCAATACTGCCATTTTGATGTGATGCAAATTTTGATGTTTTATCAAAGAACATCTAAAAAGACAAAATAGTCCTCTATTTAGAACTATATGTCAATGTAAGACAAGAACTTTTTGCATACATTTAAATCAAAATAACAACTGAATAGAAGCAAACCTAAGAATACAGGTATCCTTAATAAAGCCAGACATTCAAGAGCTCTGTGACAGTAGAAAACAGCGCTGCTTTTCTATTTTTTTTTCTCTTTGGAAAACACGTATAAAAATGTTTTATAGGAGGATTTAACACTAAATGAATTAATAAATATTTTAAATGTTGTCATTCAACTTTCCTCATATGATAAATAAAAGAATAATTTTGAGGTCCTCAGTAACTTTTAAGGGTATAAAATAGTTCTTTCCTGAAAGCATGACCAAGTAAAAATTATACAGATACTAAACCTCAGTTGTGGTTACATTGAGGAGACACTGAGAATATTTATTTTGTGCTGTGGGAGGAAGGAGATCAGCAGTAGAGAACTGCTACTTTGTATCAACTTGGACAAAACTTTTGCTGGCGGACTCCATGCCTTGCACTGCTGAGATAGTAAAAGGGGTTGGAGACCAGGTTGGATGAGGGATGAAGAAATGGATAAAGGGATGTTACCTTCTGGTGGGAGAGTTTACATTTAAGACAGAAAGGTGAGATGTAATTCATACCAAGTGTTATTAATTCAATAATGATTTGATGTTAACTGGTTGGTAGCTATCGTAGTTATTTTTCTCTCCTGTTGTTAAGACAAAATACCTGGCACCCAAAGTTAGGGAAGGGAAGGTTATTTCTTACAGTTTTGGAGGTTTCAGTCCAGTTCACTCAGTTGGCTCCAAGGCAAATGACACAGTGGAGCCGCAGCCATTCACAGCAGCCGCAAACAGCAAGCACAAACAGCAAGAGAGAAACACGCCTTCTTGCCTGTGTTACACTGTATGTTGGCTCTACCATTAGGTGGGTATAGTGCTCACACCACCAATTTAAGAACTAGACAATGAACCAATCACAAATGCTAGATTCAGCAGAGTCTATGATTGCATGAGACTTGGGGGGCCATCTGACACAAACCATGACATTCCATCTCTGACCCCCCCAAAGACTGATGTACATCCTTTATACAAAAGACATGTAGTCCATCTCCAAGAACTGCCAAAGTCCTTCAGCACTGCTGAAAAGTCCAAGTCCCAGGTCTCCTCCAAGATCTAAGGCAAACCCTTAGCTGCAGGCCCCTGTACAAATGAAAACAAAGTTAAATGTTTCCAACATACAATGGCACAAGATAAAGGTTACCATTCTAAAAGTTACAAACAGGGGAATACAAAGCAATGAAACCAAAGTCCAAAATCCAGCAGAGCAAACATTAAGTTCTGGAGTTTCATGTTCAGCATCTGAAACAATCTGGTTGCAAGCTCCAAACAGCTTGAGTGACTCCACCCCCACGGCTGTCAGGGGTTCCAGTTCTCACAGCTTCTCTCCCAGGCTCTTTCTTTTCTTGCAGCTTTTCTTGGACGATCCATGCTTCTGTCTTTTCTAAACTTCTGGTATCTCCACTGCACCTTTAGCTTCACACTTGCAGATTCACACACTGCCCTCTCAAGAGTGTACTTCATGGCCTCCCAGGCCCTCTGAAATTGGGGTGGAAGCTGCCTTAACCTCAGAACTCACGCATTTTCCTTGCACCTAAAATCAGCACCATGTGGATGCTGCTGAAGTCCACTGCCAGCTGGAGTAGTAGCCAGGCTTTCCTCTCTCTTGGCTGAGGGACCGAGTGTCTGGATTGTTGAGTTCTCTGAACTTGATTGTGAGGAACAGCTTCTCTATGCTGCCAGCATTCTGGAATCTGGTGCAGGCTGCTGCCTGTGGCCTCCATTGCCACTCAGGAATGTGGTGCTCTATGGCTTTCTCCTTCAAGCAAACCCTTTCACTTCTGTCAGTCTTGAGTCTGTAAAAGATGGAGACCTGTTGCTTCCTGGGATGCTTCCAGGCCATCCTTTTTATTTCCCTATTCCTTCTCAGCAATCAAGGTCTCAGATCTATCTTTATAATTCACAGTTCCCTGGCCAAACTCACAATGTTTTAAACCATCATGCTGGGTTCTTTGCTCTTGAATTGCAACATAACTCTGGCTAACAGTCTCAAACAATAGCCATGCCACCACCTCAACATTTGACTGCCTTGAAATTTCTTCTGCTAGATTAATCAGTCTACTACCCTTAATCTCCATCTCAGGCAAAGTCTCAAGCAAAATGCAGATAAACTTTCTGCCAAGCCGTAACATGCATCGTGTGGACTCCAACCAGCAATGCAATCCTTCTCAGCAGAAATAGCCCGAGCCTGGTCTTTACTGGCAAGCTTTCTATCAACCTTTTGGTCTCGTGAGCTCTGATCAGAATCTCCCCTACAGAACAGCCTAAGGTGTTCCAGCTCTATGCCTTCAGGTGACATCTTCAAACCTTTCCAAACTCTTCCTACAAGCTGTTTCCAAAGGCTCTTGAACTATGTGGTCAGGTAAAGTCACAGCAATAACCCCAATCATCTGGTACTAAACTGTCTTGGTTACTTTCCTCTCATTGCTGGGACAAAATACCTGATGCCCAAAAAGGAAGGAAAGGTTTATTTATCTTATAATTTTTGGAGATTTCAGTCTATACTCAGTTAACTCCAAGTGGCAAAGTGGTATGGCAAGGGGACAGCCGTTCATGCAGGCTGCAAACAACAAATACAATCTGGGCAAGAGAGAGGGCAGCCACACCTTCTTTCTGCTCTTACACTGCATGCTGCCTCCACCCTGGGCAGGTATAGCACTCACACCACCAATAGGAGTACTAGACAACGAACCAATCACAAATGCTAGATTCAGCCACATCTATGATTGCATGAGACCTGGGGGAGTCCATCTGACATAAACCATGGCAGTGGCTTACTAACTGCTTGGTACACTGAGTGTCATGTCTCTTAGTTTGGTGCTCATGAATCAGAACTGGATAGATCAGAGCTGAAATTCTGACCGAGGACTCCAGAAAAGTCAGATAGGATGTGCAAGTTTGGGATGTCACCATGGGAACAGGCTGTGCACCTACTGGAGGAGAGCACAGCAGAAAGCTGAAGGAGGCCCTGTGTTAGGCCACATGACAGGAGCAGTGCTCCTGGCTTACCTTCCTCCCCCCACCTGGCGTGTGAAAGGGACTCCAGCCTGCCTGAGGTTTCCTGTCTCTGCTCCTTGGGAACCTGAAGTGGGCAGCTCCACTGTGCTATACTGCAGTGACGCTCTTTCTTGCCACAGGCCCAGACATGTGAGGGCCAAAGGCCTGAATGGAAACCTGTGAAGCAATGGGAAAACCAAAGTTTCCCTCCCCATACATTGTTAACCCACTTACCAAGATAACTAGAGGATTATAAGCCCACAAATGCTTTCTGAGTGCCTTCAGGGCTGCAGACATGCACGATGGCTCACTGCATCCTACCATTGTAACAACCACAGAAGTAGACACTTTTCATTCATCAGCTAGAAAACAAAGGTCAGTGAAATATGCTTTCAGAATCCCACAAACGATAAATACCAAAGATAAGATATTTTAGGTTACCACTGAATTTTAGGTTCTTACTTGGAATCCTTTTGCTTTCAAGGAAAATCATTCTCTGGCTTTCAGTTCTAGGCGCCTTTTCCAGTCCCCTTGATGAGGAAGGGGATAGTAGAATGGGTATATAATCAACTTTTATATCCAGAGGTTATGAATTACAAGCACAAAGGGAGAAAAACAAATGTGTTGCTCTTTAACAAATAAATTCGGTTTTCCTGAATGTCCTCATGGCCTGAACTGTCAGCATGGGGGAACACTGACTTAACCAGAGCTGGCACTGTCACATTACACACAGGGCTCCCAGGTTTGGGGCTGCCCAGCCACCTCTATCCTGGGGTCTCACACGTAGGCACTGGCTTCCAGCCACCTCCATCCCACTTGTAAATCAATCTAATCTGCATTGTATGTCAGAATACAGAAAGTAGACAGTGCATTCTAAATTAATTAAAAGCAAAAAAAAAAAAAAAAAAAAAAAATCCCAGGAAAGTCTGAGTCTCACTATATGAGATGAAACTGCTCTGAAATGTAAGCCAGTGCCTCGCCACAGTTGAAGCAGCTGTGGTAGGGGCCAAACAGGCTTCGGTCAAGAGGATGCCCTGGGGGTGACTGAGTGGCCCCGAGGGAGCTGCTTGAAGGTTTCCAGCAAGCAAACGCTGCCAGAGTGGGGTGCTGGGGTTCTGGCGGTGTACTTTGTGGGGCTTGACTCTGGGGGCTGGGACGGTGGACTACTTGGTGCGCTAACGTTCACCTTTCATCACGTCCCCCAAGCACACCGCGTACACTGCGTAAAGCATCGCCCCAAGTTTATGGGGCTTTTCTGTTTCTGTCTGATATGTTCGTTATTGCCCAAATTTTTATTCGGTTCTAATCTCAAACCAATAAATCAGTTATTAAGGTGTGGTCGAACGCGAAAGAAATCCACACCTCAGAGGACTTTTGGAAGGGAAAGAGGAAAAAAAAAAAAAAAAAAAAAAAAAAAAACCGGGAAGAAAGAAAGAAAAAGTCGTTTGTTTTACCCTGTAGTGATTTCAGGACTCCAGACCTAGTTAACCGGGAGGCCCGCATTTTCTCCTCAACGCTGCCACCTACTGTCCGCCGGAGGTCACGGGCGGCCCTGGGCGAGGACAGAGGGGGGCTGGGTGGAACAGAAACGCACTGCTGCGTCCTGGTGTTGGAAGAAACGAAGGAAAAAGACCGTTTTGTAGCCAGCGTTATTACTTTGACCGTGTCCTGCATCGTGCGCTCCCAGGAAGTGAAGACCACGGTCGCCTCCTCGGAGCCGGCCGGCTGCACGCGGTCCACGCGCACGCGGTTGTCCATCCTGCAGAGCAAACGCCTCCCTCCCATTAGGTCACCTTTTGAGTGTGCCGAGTGTATTTTTACGTTCCGGACCACGCTGAGCCAGAGATACAATTATTTTTTGACTTCTTCGCCCACCCACGGTGAAAACTGTTGCAGACGAGAAGCGGGCAGGCTCGACGTCCGTCCGGACTCCCGAGCCGGCCGCGGCGAGGCTGGAGGAGGGGCGGGCCGGGGGCGCGGGCTCGTGTGCACGCGCACTGCGCATCCCCGCGCTCCCGGCGGCCGGTCCCTCCAGGGCCAGGTCCCTCCAGGTCCCCGCGGCCGCCGCGCTGAGTGGCGGCTTTGCGCCCCGCCCGCCGCCCGCGCCTCCGCCCCCTCCGCGCGCTCTTAAACCCCTCCGCCGGGACCCTCGGCCGGGAAGCGGGCGGCGGGCGGAGGCGCGGCGTCGTCGGGAAGGAGGCAGCCGCCCGGCCGGCAGCCCATCGCGCCGGGACTCGAACCGGCCGGCCCCAGACTTCGTCCGCCTGGCGCCCGCTGCTCCCGGTCCGGCCGGGGCTTCCCTCTCCCCTCTTTTCCTGTCCTGTCCTCTCTCCCGCTCCCTCTCTCCCTTGAAAAGGTGACTTTCTGTGATCAGGGATAGGGGAGCTGGAGGAAAAATTAATTTATTTTTAACGCACAGAGAAATTTTTAAAAGCATCAGAAGACCCAAGCTCAACGGAATAGTAAAGACAATATTAGCCAGATTCCCCTTCTCGGGGTGGAGCACCAAACATTTAAGGCTCCCCCCATTTTTTCAAATGTTGCTTTTAAATTTCTTATTTTTTCTGGCCGGTCGTCTCAAATTCATCTGAGCTGTCGTTACCTGATTCTGGGCCCCGCCCCAGCGCCCCTGGGCCACACAGACCGACGGCCGCGGACGGCTCTATGAGCAGAGCCGAGCAAGGTAGGGCGCAGGCGGCGCGGGGGTCCGCGGGCGGGACGCGGGGGGCGCTTGGCCCGGGACTGATCGTGCAACGGTTGGTTCCCGGGAAAAAGTTTGAGGTCGCAGCGGACAGGAGGGAGGCCAGGCGGGGTCCCGATCCAGTCCCTCTCGGACCCCGCGCTCGGCGCCAGGTGGCCGCTCCCTCCCGGGCCGGGAGCCGAGGGGTGCAGAGGCGCGGCCGGCTGGGGAGCCCCGGAGAAGGAGGACGCCCCGCGCCTCGGCCCCGCGGCCACGCCCCTCCGGCCGGCTTGGCCCGGGTCCCGTCCCTGTTCCCGGCCCGGCGCGGAGCGCATCTGCTTGCGGGCGGCTCCGAGGAGCTTGGCCACTGGAGCCCGGCCACGCCTCGCAGGGTCAGGCGGGGTGTGGGAGCCTCGCGCGTGGACTGCGGGGACGGCGCTCCGGCGCGCATCCCGCTACACAGCCCTGACTGCTGCCCTCCCCGCCCACGTGGCCGGCCGCGCCGGGCCGGCCTGCGTCATCCCCGGGGCGTGGATCGGCGGCGTGGGGCTTCCCCGCGCCCGGCCTGCTGAGGAGGGCGGCGGGAGGACCGCGCTGCTCCCCGCGCTCTGCGCCCTGGCAGAAGCTCCACAGAGAACGGAGGGCGATGCGCCTTTGGAGGCGGCGCGCAGGTCAGGATTTCTCCAAGGTCATTCTGAGAATAAAGTTTGTAAGGGTTGCCACGTAGTTGAATTAAGAAGTTTAATGTACAAGGGCCTCAAGCGCATACCTGTGCCTATCACCCTATTTGTAGACAACCTTTTAAGTTTTAGATTTGAAGAGAACTCTTAAATTTTTCTTTTCCTTCCAGTGTGTGCAAGTTGAATTGTTCATAAAGCTACTTTTTACTATGTTTTTGAATAAGGGTACAGGCCACTGAGACACTCTGTAAACCACATCCTCTTTCACCACTGGTTTCTGTAGTTGTTCGGTAGTTTTATATTTTCAATGGAAGTGTAAGGCTGTGCAGCACCCATCAAGGTATGTATATCCTGCTGTGTGCATTCGCAGCTCTGGGGCAGATAATTCCAACACCATCCTGAATAGTACCAGATTAGTGGTTCCTACCTGGAGTATTGTCTTTCCTGTACCTTTTTTTCCTGGAAGTTACCTGGTTCAGAGGAGTAGAAACTGTTTTGTGATGTGCAGATAGATGCGTGTTACTTGAATTGCCTGTACTGTACATGGGACTGATTCCAAAGTTTTGTTGGCTATGCAGCATATAGTTATGCAGCATTTAGAATCTGAAAGATTTTAACAAGTTGGTGATTAGCATCAAATTTGAATATTAGTTTTCACAAAGCAGAGTTGATATTTAAATCAGCTACCTTCCTGTAAAACAGGAATTGTGTGAGAAATGAATAAGAAACTTACTAGAAAGTAAGTTAGCTTGGAATGAACTTTTTTTGTTAGATCTGTAAGATACAGCCACGTAATACTGAGTTTCACAAATACCGTTACATATAGGGTCTCTGTACCAACAGAAATGTCTTACATTTTTGCTTGAGTTCTTAAACATTTATAAACACATACCTTTCCCTGATTGGTTTATTTTGTGTTTTTGGCATTACAGCAGAGGGAGGGGGGTCCTTCCTAAAGATTCAGGTAGAGATTTCGTAGGGCACAAGTAAGATGATGCAAAGACAATGAAATATAAAAACAGGAAACAAGTAGTTTGCTCTCTGGTTAGCCTCTAGATGGTAATAAAGTGGGAGAATGAGCCCAGCCTCATTTTAGGTGTCTCTTTGACCCTCCCGACCCAGCTGGTGATCCTGATCCTCTAGGATCTGCACAGGCCAGGCTTGAGGGGAGGGGCAGCTCTCTGAGCAGCATGGTTCTGGTTCTTTCTCCTTTAGCAGCAATCTGCTTTAGAGTAAATAGCATCCAATCACAGATCGCCTAAGATAATTTAAGAGTGTATTTACATGTATATGTATAAGTGTATGTGTACCTTGTCACCCTTATGTATTTTTGTATATTTAGATGTACGGATCTTGTTCATGCTAGGCAAGCACTCTGCCATTGAGTTACATTCTCAGCACTTATTAAAGTCTTAAATATTTTTAAAATTAGGTAGATTTTTCTATATCCAGGAAAATGTCACTGATGCTTGACTTAGTTAAATATAGTGAGGTTATAGCATTAAATATTTTACTTTAAATATCTCTTAACAAACACTTCAGATAATAAAAAAATAAAATTAAAGCTAGTGTGATGGTACATGTGTATGATCTTAGTTACTTGAGAGGCTGAAGCAGAAGGATCACAAGTTCAAGGCCAACCAATTTAAGAGTGTATCTCAAAACTAAACATGGAAAGTGTGGGAATGGGCCAGTTGTAGAATGCCCCTGGGCTCAGTCCCAATAACCACACATGAAAAGTAAGCCTAAAACTGTTTTCAAATAACCACCCTGGAAGGCAAAATATGAGGTGCAGAAGAAACAATAGGTATTGTTTAAAACATGTCTCCTATGTTTCAGGCCCCAGCTAAGGCAGTTTGGAAACATTATATTTTTGATCCTAATTTGCAAGCACAATTTCATCAGTAGAGGAGCTCAGCCAAAGTCACAGAGTTGGCAGGGGTGTGGTTGGAGTTCAGTCTGTCAGGCCAGTGTGATGCCCTTCAGCTGGCTAATGTTGCAGATGCAGTGGTCACAATCTGTGGCTCTCACAACTGAGGAACAGTCATGTTGATGGAGAGGATCCAAAGTGACATCCTGTGGCTTGCCTAGAGACCCCAGCCCCCTGATTCTCTACCATGTCTTCAAATTTTTCTCTGCACTGTGACTGGGTTTAGGATGGTGACATGCAGGAACCAGTACTGTGATCAGAACTGACTTCTGAGGAGTGATTGATTCAAGTGAGTTATTTTAGAGAAACCTGAAACTATGGATCCCACCAACACTGGGGTGAAAAGGCCTTTACAAGGCCTTTACTAATCCTGCCAAGCTGCCTCTGGGGCCTTCCTGAGCAGTGGTGGTGGTACAGCAGACTTCAAAGCCAGAGAGGGTCAGGAGGGCCAGGGAGGGAGCCCCATGTGCCCCAGAAGCTGAGGTCTTCTAGTGTGCCTGCTGACAGGAGAACCTTCTGCATTCTTCTGTCTGAATTTCTAGTTGGGGACAGGAGCAGAAAACACACTTTGAGAGAGATGTGTCCATGTGAATGACAGCATTAAAGTCTTTGACTTTATTTATTTATTAGTCCCAGGGATCAAACTCAAGTCCTTACCAGTCAAGCGCTTGAGCCACTGAGCTAAATCCCCAGCCTAAATCTTTGACTTTAACTCAGTGCTTGTTGAACCAAACTGTGCTGCACTTTAGAATTTCCTGAGGAGACTAAACAGTAACTTTGGCTGGTAACTGGGTGGTATGTATACCTTTGGGATAAATTTGGGAGCAACTGCTTTTTAACCTTTCAGTCACTGAATTTTCACGATTTGCTATTAGAGAGAAGACACCCTGGATGTGAATGTCTCATTGCACAGCAATAGGGTTCCTCCACCTGCCCACTGTCACTGCCTAGATTTCATATTCCCAATTCAGGTTATTCTCTATATAATGGGAAGTCTATTCCTGATCCTACCATGCAACCGGTGCTTACGGCCAAAAAGAGTCTGTGTCCCGGGACCAGGTCTACCTACCAGATGTGAGCTTGAGAACTGATCTCATGGAGATACTAAATGTCTTCTGTTTACCTTTTGCCTTTGTGAGCTTTCGTAGTGTCCAGATTAAGCAGTACTGACTTGGAGCAAATCCGTAAATTTTAAATACCATGCTGAAGAGAGAAAGTTGAGTGTGTCTGGCAACTTGTGGCTCTTCCTTTGGGTTGAAAGTGGTTTGCAGTGGCAGTGATAAGACAGTAGCAAGGCTTTTGGGTGCTGGACTTGGGTTCTCTGACCTTCCTGGTTACTATCCTCAGAATGATGTGGTTCTCCTATTGCAGATTAGGAAATGTCGTGCAGGTGCTTGTTAGCATCTGCTGCCTGCACTCATCAGGTGGCTTCTGATCAGGAGTCTGGAAACGGAGAGAGTGCTCAGTGCACTCTACTTTCATGCTTTTTGTGGGTATCCAGTGATGGAGTATAAATATTCAAATTAGTGGACATTTTTGTCTCAGTTCTACTAGCAGAAACTTGAAGTTCAACAAAGTTAATCAAATTGTCCCAAGATGCATGACTTACTCAGAACTCTCGAAACTTCTATCTGAAATCAAATTAAGACAACTTGGATTAAATCTATTTCTTCTCATTCCTAGTCCTAAACTACACCATGGTCATAACTTGTGGCTAACAAACAGTGGGTTAAAGGGAAGGGGATTCGGGGCCCCTAGGTAGTTCCTGGAAAGAAACTAACGCTGATGAGATCTAATTGTTGATTACTTTTTAGATATTCAAATGAGTTCCTTCTCTTCATCTCATCTGTTTTGTGAGTATGATTGAGTCACTTTATAGATGAAGCCGTTGAAGATGGGAAGTATTTTGTAATTTTTTCAAGCTCGCCGTCAGGGTTTAGACCTAAACCATCCCCCCAGAGCTCAGCGATGTTCAGAGCTGGAGCTGAGGAAAGGTGATCAGATCGTGTGCTGTAGCTGAGTGGACAGTCGGGGGCAGGCCCAGCCGAGGAAGGAGCTCAGTGGAGGAATAAATCTGATGGGCGTCCTGTTTGGCTCTCACCTTCTGCTGTGAGGTGAGCAGCTTTTCTCCGTCCAGTCCTTCTGCCATGGTGTTTCTTTCTGCCTTGGAACTCAATTGACCAGGAACAGCAGCCACTAAAACTATGAGCCAAATAAACTATTTTCCTTTTAAGTTATATCAAGCACATTGTCCTCACATTAGAAACATCAGTAATACAGTCTCCCCAGCATTAGGAGGAAGAGCCAGGATTCTGTCCCAACTCTGTCTGGGTCCCAAGGCCAAATTCTCTGGAATGGCAGATTTCAGTAAAAGTGTATCTGATTTCAAAGCATTTGCTCATCTTGTCAGTGCCACAAAAGTTCTCAGCAGAAGAACCAACGCACATGCACACATAATAAGCACAGTTCATTGGAACCACGTACAAAACTGTGCTGATTAATGGGTGATGGTAAACACTAAAAGATAATAGATTTTAGGTTGATAAAAGATGCTTGTGTGACCTCTTAAGTCCCAAACTTGACCCCGAACTCATAAGCTTGTTAAGATTGCAACTCTGTGCTGTAAGTGCTCATGGAGACCATGCATATCTTTCATGTTAGCCAAATTTCTTCTGGAAACTCCCTACTGCCACTACCTGTAGACATCCTGCAAGAAATCATGGGGCTGTTTACAAAAAAAAAAAAAAAAAAAAAAGAAAGAAAGAAAAAACAAGAAAGAAAAGCATTGCACCCTGTTTGGCTTTTGGTTATCTGTCTACTCCACTGCAATGATTGAAGAAATAGGAAGTATGCTTGTTAGTAGGCATTGACTGCCTGAATCCAAATTAATTTATTCATTCACTCAATGTATTTATACCTCCTGGATGACAAGCCCAACTTTGGTCCCAGGACACAAGAGTCATTGGATGTATAGATACTTAGGGCCACACTACAAGGAGAAATAAGTGTGCTGGGGTTGGGAAGAGGGCAGGATAGAGACTTTAGAAAGGAGCATAAACTATGGCTTCTCAGAGGAGGGTGAATCCCACTGAATCTCTGTAGCTTTCCCACATGCTGACTCAACAGAGGTGAGTTCATTTCAGCTGCCTCCATCCCCACAATGGAAGGTTGCTGCCTGGGAACTCAGTTCTTGCCTCTGGCTGGGCAGTGAGAGCAGTTGTGATTCTCCGTTGGTTCAACTTTCTGATCTACAAGTCATGTAAAGGTCAAGGGGTAGGAAAAGGCTTCGACACCCAATAACCCGGATCCCATTTAGGCCGTCACAGCTAACAGCAGGGCTTTGTGTCTGTTCCGCAGGTGGAGGCGGTTGGAACACTGGTGCCTTTCTCATGGGGAAGCAGATTTGGGCTTCTGGCACAGGAACAGAATTGATGTTGCGTGGATGAAACCAGCAGCTTCTTTTGAATCAGCTTTGCTTCATGGTGCCTAGGCTACACTCACATGGGAAAGGGTCTGACCAGAAGCTCTCAGAGTTGCCTGGCCTTGTCTCTCTTCTCCAGCAAGCACATGCTCCCATTTTTCACAGCAGTAGAAACTCTTTAGAGTACACTCCTCTGTCCTGGTAGAATGTAGCATTTTCAGCCAGAAACAGAAAAATGCTGTCTATTTTGCCTATTTTTTCAGTAACTGTTTAGTGTGGCACTTTAGGGCACCGTGTGGGTCCTGTGCCTGCTCCATGGCTTTGGACAGATAACCCGAATGCCGGATGTGTGGGCTTGCTGAGCATTCACATATGTGGCAGCCTGAGATAAATGATGTGTTTACCAGTTCAAGTCATTAAGATTAAATAGGATCATGCTGTTAAACTAAACCATGCCCCACTGCCTAAAATCTAATAAACCATGAATATTACTGCCAGTGTAATAACTATGATAAGGTTGATGAAGGTATAAACACACACATTTATATGTACATATATTTACTGTATATACATATCTTTGGCTTTGTGGAGTTTGCATTCCATAATAGTCAGTTTCAGCCTAGAAAGCTATGGAGAAGTTACTAAATTCTGATACTGATTCTGGTACTGATTTCCTACTATGCTACTATGACCTAGAATTGAACTAACCTTGTTTTTGTAATTTAACAAAACACCGTGGGCACGTGTTCCTGGTTCACCAGGAGAGCATGCTGTAATGCATAGCCCTTTGGTAAGGATTGTCTCTGGGCAGCTGTACACACATGGTGCCCATACCCATGAAACTGCCCAAGGGAATTACTGAAGCATACGTCCTGTGTCGTCCTCAAGAGGTCAGGGTCTTCCCTTGGCACAGTTGGCTCCAGCATGAGCCTTTTGCCCATTGGCTGCCCTGGAATGGTGTGTGAGGTGGGGAAGGTATCTCTCAGACTGAGCTGAAATATGAAGGTTCACTTCTAGCTACACTGCTGCTGTTTGCTGGTCAATTTTCCCAGGCTCCAGGAGAATATTTTGTAGACTCCGATGATGTCAGAGGGTGTTCCCACATCAGCTTGGGCCAGCACATGCTGTGTGACCGCTCTGGCCACATGTGCTGATAAAAGTAAGGAAAATGTGAATAATGGAAAAAAATGGCAGATAGTTCTTTTGCTGGTGTTGGTGATTTTGAACACAAGCAAAACACACACACTTAAACTTCTCCCGTGGCGAAGTACTTTAGTACCCTTGAAATGTTTCACTCTTGTGAGAATGACTCATGTCCTAGAAATGACAAGCTGCAAGTCTGGTGCTCCCAGCACCTCCGGGCATTGATTACTGTGCCTATGGGGTGTTCAGCATCCCATCCACCACCTAGTTAATTAGCAAGGGATGCTGCACTCCCTGGCCTTTCCCGAAAACTGCTTCGCCATTTCCTGGCAGTCTCTGCTTCTGTTGGATTTGGTTATTTTTATTAAGCCGGCGTCTTGCATGCTGTGGTGGCCAGTGTAGCTGCTAGAAGTGGGAAGCTAATTTGTATTCTGTGTTGTGTATTTTTTATATTCTTAGTTAACTGATAATTGGGACTGCGTTGTGTTTTTTTTTTTTTTTTAATTTTTTTTTTTTATCGATACCGGGGATTGAACTCATGACTGCCTGCTTGCAAGGCAGGCGCTTATGCTGCTGAGCTAAATGCCCAGTCCCACGTTGTGTTTTTTTATAAAGCCCTTTCTTGGGTCAGGGTTTAGCTCAGTGTCTGCTTGGCAAATGTGAGGTTGTGAGTTCAATCCCTGGTACCAAAAAAGAAAAGTTTTTCTTCAAACTATTTCATTTGACTCTTTAGCACAATCCTGTAAAGAGAGTTTGACAAGTAGTTTTACCTGGATTTTGTGGAAAAAACCGAAAGCTTGAATCTTAGTCTCTAGGCTGCTTTGTATTATCTAAGTTATGTTAAAGTTTAGCAAGTACACAATGGGTAAACAAAGAATCAAACAGAAATCAAGAAATGATTTCTTGATAACACAGGAGTTCAAGACAGGTATCTTGATTGATGGGAAATGTCATTCCGTATAGCCCAAGTTCTGTCTTGAGGTCCTGTGATACGGCAGCATGTTTTGAATATGTGTAGAAAGCCTGTGGAAAGGAAGGAGAGATGGGAGGGGTGCTCTGCTCCCTCTCATATAAAGGACACTCCTGGAAGTGGCACACTCAGATTTCCAGAGACTGGAAAGCCCTGATGTGGTGCCCTGGTGGCGCACTGCCTAGCCTGTGAGGGCCAACACTGTTCGTAAGCAGTCATGCTGAAGTTTCTGGGAATGTAATGCAGAATGCAATGCATAACCAGTCAGGACCGTTCAGTGTGTGACCAGATGCAACGGGAAGCAACAGAGTGCAGGAGTCATGCAGCCATTAACCACCAAGATGGTGCTCAGTTTTGACTTTGATGTGGATCAGGGAAATATAAATACTATAGCAAGAGGCTTTCCAGAGGTAATTGCTTAGCTAAAGTTTTCATTTAAAGTAAATATATTCAGCTTTCAAAAACTAACTGGATTAGAGAAAAATGATGAAGCACTAATTACATAAATGCGTGATGAATATCCAAAGCTGACGTGAAGGAGCACTGTATTAATACCAATTATCTGGATCGTTGTGGTTTGTTCTTAGAAGAGGACATAAAACAGCATAGGGGAGAAATAAAACTAAAAGGATGTGTACCAGGCATCCTTGCGCTACTCAGCGCTGGAAATGCTTTGAGAAACACAAAAATGGCCGTCCTATCTGTGAGTTAGTTAATATCCTATTTAGGAGGCACACAAAATACAGAGATGAACTGAAAACTGGCTAAGACCTGAAACAGGTTTCAAGCCTTAACATTCAGTAGCTTTCCATGGGCTGGAAAATCACCTATTGGAATTAAGCATTAATGTACTCATTATTTTTTGAAAACATTCATTGTATGCTTACTGTGTTTCAGTGAGGTTTCCGAGTCCCAGAATCTAACCACCTGTTGTTGACAATGGTGGATGGTGGAGGCAGACTTTTGAATAAAAGCGCACACGTGCTTCAGAGTCACAGGGGCTTTGAAAGATAATTATGCAGAATACCCAGGGATGCAGGAAGTCCCAGAGAAGGAAGGTGACTTATAGGATCTCATGGCTGGTTAATGAGCTGCTACTAGAAGCCAGATGGCCTAAGCTCCAGTTTCAGCTAAGGATGAGATGAGATTACTCATGAGAAATTCTGCAAAATCTGTGTGTTTACTTTTCAGTTATCATTGTTAGGAGCGAGGGGAAGAATGGTACAGGAAGAAAGATTGTTTCGGATTTAGGATACCATTTCCATACCTACCTGTGATCCTACACAGAGTATAGCCTCAGACAAAAGACCCAACTTACATTAGCTGAAACAACATCCAAGTGTTTCCTTAAATATACTGTGGTATTTCAGTAGCACCATCGCGTGATTAGATTCTTGCCACAGTCCTCTGAATTTGGAAGGGGTCCACACCCTAGTCTTGCAGACCAGCAAAGTAAGGTGTGGAAAGTGCATAGCTGGTTGAGTAAGAAACTTGATTGAATTCCTGAATCCTCCTTGTACCATGCTCCTCCCACAACACCGCGTGCACACCCAGCCCAGTGAAGAGTGGTTAACCAGGTATCCTTTGATTATATTCCAGATGCATTGTGAGAGGTTTATATGTATCCTGAAAATAATTGGAACCACGCTTTTTGGAGTCTCTCTTCTCCTTGGAATCACCGCTGCTTACATTGTCGGCTACCAATTTATCCAAACGGATAATTACTATTTCTCTTTCGGACTGTATGGTGCCTTTTTAGCTTCACACCTCATCATCCAAAGCCTGTTTGCCTTTCTGGAGCACCGAAAAATGAAAAAGTCTCTAGAAACCCCCATTAAGTTGAACAAAACTGTTGCTCTTTGCATTGCTGCCTATCAAGAAGACCCAGACTACCTACGGAAATGTTTGCAATCTGTGAAAAGGCTCACCTACCCGGGGATTAAGGTTGTCATGGTCATCGATGGGAACTCCGATGATGACCTCTATATGATGGACATCTTCAGTGAAGTCATGGGCAGGGACAAGTCAACCACTTACATCTGGAAGAACAATTTCCATGTCAAGGGTCCTGGTGAGACCGAGGAGTCACATAAAGAGAGCTCGCAGCACGTGACGCAGTTGGTCTTGTCCAACAGAAATGTGTGCATCATGCAGAAGTGGGGTGGAAAACGGGAAGTCATGTACACCGCATTCAAAGCCCTAGGACGCAGTGTGGATTATGTGCAGGTAGGTCTCTAGAGCCCTGCCAGGGCAAACACATGGCTGAAATAAAGCAGCCTCTGTCTCTCCAGTCCTACCCTGGAGCCCGTCCTTGTCTCTCCTGAGCACAGGGCTCCTTTCAGTCTCCTGGAAAACAGGATGACTGTTGAAAGCACGTTTGGAAAGGCAGAGAAAAAAACCATGTAAAACTGTTAAAAAACTATCGATGAAAATGCTCAACCTGTGCCATGGTGTTGGTTAGAAATCCAGATTATTTTAATAAGAGAGCCTTCCTTCCCTTCTGTCCCCTCCCTCTTCCCTTCTCTGTCCCTTTGGCTCTGCCAAGTCAAATTTAACGTCATTTTCCACACTTAAAAAAACCTGTAGCCCTGTAAGAAAATATTGTCTGCCTGAGGGAAAGGATCTTGAGGAATTCTGCAGGCTGTAGAATATTTTGCATATACGTTGGGCAAAGCGGGAATGGTGACAAAGATTTTGATTTACAAGGGAAGAATTCAAACTTGAAAGTGAGAGGAAAAAGAGCAAATCTTAGAGCAAAATCAAGAGTGCTGTTTATTTCACTCTCCCAATAGCATTACCTCACTCAACTCCAGTCTGACCTTTGAGAGCATTTGTGATGATGTTTGCTTGCATGAAAATTGGGCTGGCCATGTCTCTCATTAACTCCTGGACAGCTCGCTGCGTTTTTCTCCTGTGGAAGTTCTCACTCAGGTTTTCTTCTGTGGGTTTCCATGTGTTTTTTAATGTTGACTCTGTGCATTCTGTGGTTTGATTTTTGAACACAGTGATGTCAAGGAGTGAGAAATGAGTCCCATTTTAAGAAATCCCCTGGAACAATTTTCCTCTCCTTTTAAAAATAAAAAATCCTTATTTTCAGAAGACCCATCCTGCAGGGGCCTTGTTGCCACAAATTGGCACCCGTCAAGTCTTGAAATAATGAGATATGAGTATTGGCTTTGAGACCACGTGGTCCAGGCTCTAACGTACTCCTGGTGAGGGACGCATCTAACTCCCTGGGCCTCACATTACTGGAGACTGTAAAGCAGTCTCACAGTGGCTTCCAATGATTATGTCTGCTACTATGTTGCAAGCGCGTGCCAGAAATTGTTTCTAATATCATTGTTACACAATTAAATGGTGCTACTATATATCCACCTAGGTCATACTAGAAAAATTATGCTGTCTGCTATTTGTCACCATGGGGTTAGTAAAGTTAACATCTGGAGAGTTTGGGGACATGCCGTATTGATACCATTTGCATGTTCATCTCATTTCTAGTGAATTTCAGAGTTTCTCAAGTTTCTCCTAATTTCTTGATGGTGAATCTTCAGAAATAAGATAGAATTTACATGACACAACTTGGCACCTGGAGGAGAAGATCTACTCTAGACATGAGCATGAGAGAGGATCTTAGAGAGGGTGTACAGAACGAAGCTCTGTGCCTGACCTAAGAAAACATCTGTTTTAATGTTTTGCTTTTGCCTCTACTTGGAACAATGGCTGCATTTGTCGGTTCTAATCAAGACATGGCTGTGTGGGTTCTTTCTTTCACTTAGCTGCCTCCTTCCAAAGCCCCTTCTCTTTTATACCTCTTTTGAATTGTGTTCGTATCCTTGACAACTTTACTCGGGTACCTGTCCAGGAAAAAATAATCCCAAATATGTAAAGTTAGAGTAGCCTCTGTCCGAGCCCCAGGCAGGCCTGAGAACTCTCTTCCCTACAGGCCGCAGCTCCACATAGACTGATTCTAGCAGCTGCTCTCACTTGGGCCTGGTGCATCCTGGGACATCAGCCAGGTGCCAGCACACAGACAAGGTCACAATTGGTTAGCATCTGAAACTGGTCATTTGTTCTGCCAACTCCCAACCAAACCTCTGATGTTTAACCCCTTGGTCCACAAAAATGGCAATATCATAAGGTTTATACCAAACACAGAACACTCGTCATCTATCCTGACTGCCAGGCTTTGGAAATTACAATGCGAAATCCACAAAAGAACACAGCAGAGAAAGGTATGAGGTTGCCAGTGGTGGTGATGGCCTTGGTACGGAGGCTGATCTGGGAAAGAGGGAAGCGAAGTTCAGGGGAGATGGCCGGAGAGAAAAGGGGGAAACTGGAAGGAAGCTGACCTGCTCCTTGCTTTGAGAGTACTCATAAATGGGTTGACCAGAGCGACCAGTTTCCAGCCTTGCCTGGTCGTCCGCAGGTCTTGCTTGTTGCCCTGGTGACTCCCTCGCCTTTGCCAGGCATCCTGTCCCAGCTCCTCTCTGCTTAACCTGCTAACAGGCCACCTTGCCTTCTGCCCAGGAGCAAATCACAGGCACTGTCCAGAGGCTCCCATGCCCATCTTCCCCTTCTGCTGATGCTACCTCGATGGTAGCCAACCCGCTCCTCACCTTTCTGCTGTGCTTCTGGGTCTCTCTGATGTAGTGCGCTGCAAAGGAACAGGGCTGGTTACTGGCTGCTGTCTCCATCTGCCTCAGCGTCATCTGCAGTCTGCTCACCTCACCTCATGACTGACCTGGCTCCTGGCTTTTTCACACAGCAGGTGGTGCAGGGAGGCCCTGCTCCGGGCCACACCCACAGGACTGCAGGTTCACTGAGAATGCAGTAGCAGCTCCCGGAGAGGAGAATAGGAAAATGCCAAGAAAATAAAGGGAGAAGTAAAGATGAAGGGAAAGTAAACACAAAAAGAGTGCGAGGATGTTTTAAAAATGCTAACAGATTTTAAAAAGATTTTCAAAACAGCAAAATTCAAGTTATTTGCAACTGTTATAAAACCGATGGATTAATGCTGCTGGTGTATTTCGTTGTGCTTTTCCTTCATTTAAAAAGGCTTGGAATTACAGTTAGTTTTAGCATTAGGGTTAGACAAAATATAGCTTGGTATTAGATTATTTCTTTGCTTTATTTGCGCTTTTTGTCGTTGCCCACACTTACTAAGTTTAAAGTGATGACCACTCTGACAGACAAGGGATAAAAGATGTGCATTAGGCGTTGGTACTGTGGTGCTGCGCTCTCTCCAGGTGGAACTGGAGATGTCGCAGAACATTTTCCTAAAGGGGCGATTGTAAGAGACTCATTAGTTTTGTCTGGTAGAATCCTAGACACCCGAATGCTTTAAGTGGAAAAAAGGCTATGTAATTTATAATAGTTCAGCACATTGAAATTTACTTCTAACCTCAGAATTCACCCCTGCAGCGATTTGTCAGTCATTTGCGTGTGTACACACTGAGGCAGACAGCGGGAGGCACCTTAGGCACAAGGTCCAGCTGAAGTCCAGCTGAGGTTGGACAGAGTGACCCTCTGCCTCTGTAGCTTTCAAATTGTAAACAGCTACCTTATTTATAGTCTTCTTGTTTATAGGAGACTATAAATGTTTCCCCTGGATTTGGTTTTGTGCCTTGGGTTGGTGTGGCAGCTGTTTTGCACGTTCCCGAAGTTAGTATTGAAGTTATGTGGATCCTCCATGCAGGACTCAGCTCAGTACCATCTATGGCCTTTGACCGCAACACACTGAAGTTCTGCTCCAGTGAGAGCAAAGCAAAACCATCAGAATTTGCTTTCATCACTTACTGTCTTCTTTCTCACTTTCCTTTCTAATCTACTCTTCTCTCCAAAGTTGGGGGAGATCTTATACAGACATCCTGATTTGAGGGGCACCATGGGGAGTTTCCTGATTTGCTTCTTAAGAAGGAGAATTCCAGAGTAAGAGGAAGAGTGTTTCCCAGCTCACTGCAGAGGTGACAACATTTTGTTCCCACTTTCCCAGCTGGCTTGACACCTTCGCTTTACACCTCCTGTTAACTTTCATGTCCAGCTTTCTCAACAAGGAACAGAGAAAAATCAGTGGCTGCTGTTTTCAGGGAGAAATTATGTAAGATTAGGTTTAGAATTAAGGTTAAGGTTAGGATTAGGGTTTTGTAACAATTTAGAAAATTTTTTCCAACAATGAATGATTGTATCTTCCTACTTCCTTTTAAGAAAAATAACAAAAAAAAAATATTAAATTTCCTAGATGGCTGCAACATAGAGGTCTTTTATTGGCTCGATTTGAGAGTCCACTTTTTACCAAATTAAGAGAAAAAGATTATCCTTCCCATGCCTCACACCCTTCCCCTAAGGAAGATGCCTGCTACTACTATAGTGCGTTTTTTTCTTCTGAGATGTTTTTACTTGTTAATTCCAAGGCATATTTGTAGCTCTGAAATTTTTTAGATTTTGTGATTTTGTATTTAATACATAACCTGAGGGCTATAAAAGTGACTGTATACTCAAATCTACATTTCATTTATCTAGTATACAAATAAATAGAAAGTCATGATTTATAAAAATAAAGCATCGTGCAAGCATTATTAAGTCCTAAAAATCTGTGGTAGTATAAATGACCATTAATCACCTTTAATGAATGAGATGTGTCAGTAAGTGCTGGGCAGGAAGCCCAGAGTTTTGCTTGGGTTCTGCAGACAGTTAGGAGACTAAATCCTTGCTCCCCTGTGAAAGTTTAGCTTTTTGGTAATGTGATAAATTCTAAATTGTATACAGAATTCTACTTTTATGAAGGTTATTTTTTGGTTTCCCCTTTATTCTGCATATAGAAAATCCCACAGAAACTTCCCGAGTGGTTGGGGTTATAGATATGTGCCTGCATCCCTAGCTCAGTATAGATTTTAAAGGTGAATGTTGGTTCTTTACATTCTTTACATTCATTTTCAAAACCAAAGATCATGTTACTGTTATCACATTCCGAAAGTTTAACATTAATAAAAAGATGCAATGCGTTTATGTGAAGCTTAGTGGGTTAGAGTCCATCTTTGCTACAAGACAAGCTTCTGTACATTACACCCTACTGATTTATTATAGGTCATGGATGAAGCAGAACCAGTTGCAAAGTGGTCTCAATTATTTTATTTTCCCTAATTGACCATCTAATATAAAGATATTTATATTGCCTGCTCCAGAGTTCAACTTATTTTATTTAAATTTCTTGGCTATTGGAGGAAGTA